AATTCTCTCAATCTTTTAACGTTAAATAATCAATAATTTACTAATAAATTTACATAAAAAACAACACACACACACACACATAAATATATATTTTTCCTATCATCTCTTGATTTATTAGAGAGTTTTCATTGAGCAGATGAACACGAACGACGATGGAACACGCCGCCAGAACTAACGCCTGAGTCGGTCGTCAAGACGATGTTCGACGATGAGGAATCTCAAACACATCTCCTTTCCCTCGTTCCCGTTAAGGCAACTGTCAATTTAAACACAGGGCATAACAATGCGCACTCTGTCAGCTTGGGTGCGAGTGGTATCGATGGTATCAGTCTTTCGGAAAGTGACAGTTACAATCGTCCTGCAGGGTATGAAATTGACGAGCGTGTAATCTGAAGTGTAATCTAAAATTTGCAATTATCGTATTTTTCCCCTTCTGGGAAAAAGTAAAAATTTAGACAATTGCAAGCGGACGAAAAAAAAAGAGATTAGCAAAATTAGAAATTTAGAGAATGTTAATTTTAATTTTCCGTAGTGTATAAAAAGCAATCGATTCATTTTCAGATCTCCTATTTCCGTGAGCAAATCAGTTTCCGCGGGATTATCGGGAATAAAAAGCAATCGATTCATTTTCAGATCTCCTATTTCCGTGAGCAAATCAGTTTCCGCGGGATTATCGGGAATCTCTACCGCAGGCGCGAAAGCTTATACTGACGGTGACAATGACAAGACTGAAAGTCATTCGTTCAGTTTTGGCCAAGCGACCGCAACTTCTTTTGGAGTAATCGAAAATGGACAAACGATTACCGGCGCCGCGTCTTCCGTTGGTACCTCACAATCCTCTGCTACGACTGGTGATAATCGAGGACAATCCTTCTCGCAAGCTGGTGCGGTTAGTGCGCAATATCCTTATCGGCCAACGTGGAACAACGTTGGCCCAAACAATGGACCCAACGGCGAGTGCAATTACCGATTACATATATTTCATTTCCCAAATTATTAAAAAAAATTCCATTAACGACATTATTTATTATTATATCAAAATAGTAACGAAAGATTAAAATTATTATTCCAGATCAATATTTCAATCAACCGACATTCATTGTTTCGCGTGACGAAACACGGCCGACACTGAACATTGGTGTCCCAGGCATATCCATACAAGAACAAAAGCCAACGATTCATGTCTCCGAATGGCGACCGCATCATAGAGAATTTTTTCGTCCAAGTTTATCAATTGAATATCAGTTACACAATTCTAGAAATGATCCCGCTGATAGATCATCCAGTTTTCATGTCGGAAGTAAAGATTCTAAACAGGGATATTATAACAGTGACATAATTTCTGATCTTGCACAAACTGTTGGCAAATTGTTTGACATTATATAATATAAAAAATAAAAAGTAGATAAATATTTACACAATTCATTTATAAATTTGATTTCATTAAATAAGTATTTTCTTACTCGTCATAATCAATTAATAAATTATATTGAGCATATTTAATATG